TTATGTGGGCGTTTTTATGTGTGCATGTGAGTATCTGTATGTATGTATGTGTATGGAATGTGTGTGTATGTGTGTGTAGGTACTATGTATGTGGGTAAATGGGTGTGTTTATGTGTGTGTGTGAATGTATGTGGGTGCGTATATATGCGTGTTTGAGTGAGTGGATGGGCCCCGTGGGTGTGTTTGTGAGCGTGCGCTAGTGTGTGCATTTCCCCACTCATGCTTTTTTTTTTTTTCTTGATATTCACTATCTGCATATTATCGTATGAAAATAACATATTTATTGAAAAAACACATCTGCTGTGTAAAAGACGAGTGTTTGGAAGGGCTGAATGTAAGACGGGCCTGCGTGCCCAATTTGTGACCCTTTGAAAATAAAGTTCTATCTATCTATCTATCTATCTATCTATCTATCTATCTATCTATCTATCTATCTATCTATCTATCTATCTATCTGTCTGTCTGTCTGTCTGTCTGTCTGTCTGTCTGTCTGTCTGTCTGTCTGTCTGTCTGTCTGTCTGTCTGTCTGTCTGTCTGTCTGTCTGTCTGTCTGTCTATCTGTCTGTCTGTCTGTCTGTCTGTCTGTCTGTCTGTCTGTCTGTCTGTCTGTCTGTCTGTCTGTCTGTCTGTCTGTCTGTCTGTCTGTCTATCTATCTATCTATCTATCTATCTATCTATCTATCTATATATCTATCTATCTATCTATCTATCTATCTATCTATCTATCTATCTATCTATCTATCTGTCTGTCTGTCTGTCTGTCTGTCTGTCTGTCTGTCTGTCTGTCTGTCTGTCTGTCTGTCTGTCTGTCTGTCTGTCTGTCTGTCTGTCTGTCTGTCTGTCTATCTGTCTGTCTGTCTGTCTGTCTGTTTTTTTGGTGTCTTTCTCTACTGAATGTTATCTTAATATATTGTTGGCGTCATTTTCAGACACAAATGTATTTCTATTCTGTAACACCCGTCGATATTAATATTTATTTAAGTTCAAGACATGTTTCAATAGCCTCTAAATCTACATGGCAATGCTTTGTAAAACCAAAATTGAGAAAAGTATTATTAATAAAATTATATTGCCATCACGAAATTAACAATGAGAATTGATGGTTTGCAGCAGACTATCTTCAGTACGAAAATAGACACTTTTCTAAGAGAGACTGAGAAACTAAGTGTTCACACCGATGTTCATGAAGGTGATATTAAGTAATACTTAATGGTGTGTCAAAACGAGTAGCTCTGTTTGTAGTGTGTCATGTGTGACTGGCAACTACCTTTAGCACACTTGAACTCCCCTTACCTGAAAAATGATACATAGAACTGTCTGTGTATTGTGTGATCCTTATCTCAGTCACCTTCGTTTTGCCCTGTATCTGATTTTTCTTCGTTAAGGGGATGTTTTTACCACTATGTTTATGGTCAGTGGCGTCTCCAACCGCTGAGCTAAATAGGTTAAATGTTAGGTATTTATCGGCGTCTGTGGCTCTAGCGTTGCGAACGTCCTTTGTAATGTCAGGGTGCCGCGTTCGATCTCAACTGCAGACTGTTGGTCTTGCGTTATTTCGACAATTGTATCGAGAACTGACCGTTAGTAGCAAAGGCATCCTCCTGAACGTAAAATTTGCCTAGAAAAACACACAACTGCTAAAAGAAATGCTAAAGTTGGTTCTGAAACGTCCTGTAAAAGTTTCGCAACTAACTTTTTATTTTTGTTTACAGGACAATGCAAACTAACCTGCACATAATTTTGTCTGCTCGAAGGCTGCTCTTCTGATTTCCTTTGTGTAGTTCCAGCTTTTAATAGCTGAACAAAATATTAATCTCTAAACTTTATTGTTTTGAAACCAAGTTACGTATGTTCAGTTCTAATGTTATTTCAATTTTAACATTGAAGTGTGAAATTTGGAGAACCACTAAAGTTAAGGAACGAAAGTTTAAGACATTTGAAAACAAATGTCTGAGAAAAATGATACAGATAAAAATCGGATAAATTCAAAAGGAGTAAAGAAATATAAGAAATGTATACGTAGTCACTGTTATCAACAGGTAGAAGATAGAGAACATGGCCCCACATTGGACACATTCTGAGAAGGAACCAGTAGGGAATCACTAAACAGGCATTACAATTTGTTTTAGGTTTCAGGTTTTGAACAACGGACCAACAACATGACACACGGGTAGTAACCCACAAGTGCTCCGTTCTTTCTTCTGACTCAAGTCTGAGTCTGAAGAAGCTCAGCACAGTGCACATGCTCTGTAGCACCAGCGAAGATCCTGAAATACTTTGGGTAGAGTTTTAACTCCACATTTTTGCCCGGGCAGCGTCGTTAGGCTTCTCTTTTCGATTTCCAACTGCCACGAAACTATTAAACTCGTATCTCTGTGTGTCCATACTTTACATCATTACAGAGGGAAGTATAGAGTCAAGATAAGTCCAGATTTAGACAAGGAGCAATAGTATTACAGTGTGCCTAATCGTTAATCCAGGCCAGTCATTACTTATATAGATTGGATAGTGTATATGCCAGATAAGTGGTGTGGTTTTTTTTTTACGTTTTCATCATATTCAAATGGAAAACAATTATGCGCCGTCTCCACAACGAAGGTTGGCTACAGTGTACCACTGCTGTACTTAGGAAAATATGTGGTAAGGCCCCAATTTCTTCCACGGTGCGACGCTCGTACTAATGCCCGGAACAAAGAGAACGGGTTACCGTCCACCACTGGGAACGAGCTATAGTGCTCGAGGTTTACGAAACTGTTAACCGTATTCGCTAACCTCATCGCCGGGGAGCTGCACCACATTAGAATTTATACCCTCTTTAGAATTTTTTTATATGGCGATGTTCTTGATAGAAAGTTTGTGTTTCCAATCCGCATCATCATCATCATGTAGCAGGTCCTTAACAGAACGTCGCTTTCATCACGGTTTGCCTGAATGAAACTCTGTCCCTCGCCAGGTCTCCCGCCTGATGTACTCTCATACTCAAGGAGTCACTTATATCCTGTGCCCATCTTCGTGTCTGTCGGCACCTGCCCCTCCTATCTGGTACCATGCCTTCTGCTATAGTTTTTTTTTCCAATCCGTCCTGGCGCTTGATATGACCAAAATATTTTAGCTTCTGAGACAGGATGATGTTTATTAGCCAATCTTCTTTGATGTTCACATCTTTCAAAATGTCAAGATTTCTCCTCTTCTTTCCAATCCTCGTAGGCATATTTTTTTTTTTTTTAGTTGACTCATGGTCCCAGTTCAGGAAGAAGATGTGATGTACTAGGTATAACTGCGACTGGTAAAGGTTGACCACATTGCACCACACAGTACCGATTGTTTTATAGAAATTTCCTTTTAGCACCATATGCCTATTAGTGAAAAAAAGGCCCTTTACTAGATTATTTGTAATTCTTTACATCCAAACAAGAGTAATATCTTTGAAATTAATTGTGTACAAAAGATGGAATTTTTTTACTGAAATTGGAACCCGTGTGAGGGGTGTGGGTGGTGTGTGGGAGGGGTGTGCCTATGGTGTGGGAAGGATGTAGGAGGGGTGTGGGAGGGATGTGGAAGGGGTGTGGGTGGTGTGTTGACGTCTGTGGCTTAAAGAATTATTGACTCAGGTTCATAATTTGGTTTACACCACGCTCTATTCCATTGTACACGATTTTGCAGCTGGTCGTTTTACGTTGATCTAGTCATTAGTTTAAGCTTCCACACGTTCAGAAAGCATTGATAGAATACTGAATGTAAACTTGTCCAGCTTTTTCTTTTTCAGAGTCCGCTTCTAAAAAGGCGGTAAGTTACGAAGCGTTCGCATCGACTTAGCCACAGAGCCGACGTATAGGCCACGTCATTTAACGCTCGCTCCAACTGACCCAGCAGCGCTCTCTCGGACAGCCTACACTAGCTGCCACTAATCGCTGAGCTGACCGCTATAGTGCCTAGGTCTTCAGCTCCCCTCACTTCAGGGCTTGCAGTACGAATGAACAAGTTACATCTCCTACTCAACGTGACCTCCGTTGCTCTACGCGTAGCAGACACTGTTACATCGACTGACTGGAAAACTTCAGGATCTCAATCTCCAGTATGTGCACACAGCACATCAGCCTCGTCGAAGGAACCCTGATGACCGGCAAGAACTCCAAACCTGAGTCCTCTTCAGCACACAGCTGTCCCCATCCCTGCTGTCTTGTTTCACTATAGATCCTACCGCCTCACATGCGTCGTCACCCTAGACAGCTTGTTCTAGAAGTAGCTCTGTTCTCTAAGCCTAACTCTGCCAACTGGACTTCTCTTCCTTTGTATGCACTCTCGACTGTTCTCTAGACCAGTTTTTTTCGCGAGTACTTCTGCCTCGAACGTTCTCACCTCAACTGTTCTCTCGACACGTCCTAGCCGACCTATCTCCTCTCAGTTGAACTCAACCACACTATTTACATACGCCTGTCAACTGTGAGCCTCCGTGCCCACGAGACGCCCACTGTTATGCTTGATTTCCCTTCACCGAGAACCGCATACTTTTCCATGCGATTGCTGCTATAGACGCCCTAAGTTTGATATTTAGCCCGCACTGGGCTGATAACTTCGTGAATCCACTGGTCCATCCGGCCCTATGTCAACGCCCACTTGTAAAAATATTGCACACTAAATGATGTAGCACTCTTTTGAAAACCATACTGGAGGGACAAGTCGAAAGCGGGAGAGCAACATACAGACAACTAAGTAAGTGGGAGGCAACTTTAAGAGATGAACACCAGTTTGAGAGAGTGCGCAACGAAGACAAGAGACAGAGTTGAAAATGCATAGCAGCTAACTTTTACAGCGGAGACGGCGCCTGAGTAACTGGATTTTATTAGGGGGGGGGGGGGAGCCTATATAATTGCAGCAATTTGTCCATCAATGTTATTTAATTATCACCGTCCATTTTATGTTATTCTTCTGCGATTGAGTAGTAAGTGTTGTTGGTGGTTTCTGAAACGGTTATTAATGTTATCAAGTTTAAGAAAGCTTCACTTTGTTGGACAACCGGGGCTTAGTATAGAAAAGAAATCGTAGACCTTGATGTTTCCACAGTTGCCCAAGATGCTGACCATTTTAGGAGACAATATCCAAGCTGCAAGATCTTTCTCCTGGCATGTACACACTAGCCCTGTTGTATCCGTGACATCTAGACTGTAGAGATCAACAAGAGAGGTCAACGCCAGAGGCAGACGTGTCAGTTCGGTACCTTGCAGACTCAACCCTTGCAGCAGACTAAGATGTTTAAATGCTGCAGGAGAAATGTTGGATATCGGGTTATAATTCAAATTCAAGGTTTGAAACAGAGCATTTTCAGGAAAACTGTCGTCATTCAGCGCCGTTATAAGATTCTTTGCTAGTACAACTGTCTCGACTTTAGGAGGAAAATCTGCTCCTTGAATATGTGATATGATGTTTGATGTCATAACGATCGCTTCTAAGTTTTCCAAACCAGGTATGCCTACAGGAATCGATCTAAGCAGATTATTCTCCAAATCGAGGGCAAGCAAATTTGACTGTAAAACTCCTGAACTGTAATCAGAAATTCGATTATCTCTAAAGTCTAGACTTTTCATACCAGTTAAAAACGACACATCTGGTATTGATGTCAAAAGATTATCTTGAATGTTCAAAGCCACCAAAGATTTTGCGCATCCCCTCAATGAATTACTTAATTCGCTGGAATTATATATAAGGTTTTCGTTCAATGAAACAAAAATTGCATGAGTTGATATGGGAAGATACTTGGTGCTTTTTATTCTGTTACTTGATAGGTCAAGTAATTGAATAGCTGTTAGTTTTGAGAGCGCTTTAGGAACTTCTGTTAAACGGTTACTGGACAAAGATACTGTGATTAAAGAGTCAGCCATACTGTCTAGGGCGTTGTCAGGCAGTGAGCTGAGGTTGCTGGCAACGATGTTTAGTTCCGTGACATGGGAGAGGTACTGCAGCCATGTTGGTGGTGATGTAAAGCTGACATTATTCAGGTTAAGGCTTTTCAATGTGGGACCAATATGGTTCAGGACGTCAATATTCCAGTCCGAGATGCTAGCGTCGTTCACTTGTAGATGCTGTAAAGTGTGTAGAGACAATAGTGCATTAGGGATTCTGTTAAACCGAGGTTTAGAGAAAGCTAAAGAGTTCAGAGTTGTGGCCGATGAGTTGAAGGCATCATCATCGATAGATGTCAGGGGATTGTCCAGCAAGGACAGTTGTGTCAAGTTAGGGGGCAGGTTTCCGGATTGTATTGTCGTTATTTGATTATCCTGTGAACAAGAAAGGTCATTTTATTACATATCAAACTGTGAAAAGATTCTAGAAGTATATTACCATACAATATGAATGAAAAGTCGTTATAACCGGAACTAGATCTGCTGTGAAATGATAAAATAGGGTGGATAGGAAATCACTTTAAAAAGAAAAGAAAAAGAGAAAAGGGAAGTTGCTGGGGGGGGGGGGGGGGGGGGGGGAAAACCTCGCAAATAATAACACACCCTCGAGCAAGAAAATGTAGGGGCGGAGGGGGAGAAGAAAAAAACAAGGGGGGGGGGGAGGGGGCGCTAGTAAAACAGCTTTCAGTATAACTAAATGCAAAACAATATCTTACTAGAACCTCATCAAAAGTAAATGCAACATCAAATGTGATTAGAAACCTCAACATAAGTAAAAACAATATAAACTGCGACTAGGAACGTCAGAATAACTAGTTAAAGTAAAGTAAAGTAAAGATCCCTTTACACGCCCTTAGGCGAATCGGGCATATGGGAAGAGCACCGATATTTTTACAGACCAATCGGCACTCGGTGGGTAATGTGGTCAGCATTACACCGGCCGTCTTTACTTTCCCAGGACAGCCCATCCTGGTACCCATTTAATGCTGGGTCGACCTGCGACGTCCCATGCCACGGTAAAAATCCACGCAGCCCGCTGTGGGTTTTTATCGCTGTACGTTGGATTACGAGTCAGACTCGCAACGCCCTAGCCACGGACGCCGCTCAGAATAAAAACACCACAAAAACTGCAATAGAATCAGAAAAATATCTAAACACTAAATAAACTGCGACTAGAAATCTCAGCATAACTTAACACCACACAAACTGCAGCTAGATTCCTTACATAACTAAACACCAAATAGACTGCGACTAGAAACCTTAACAAAACTAAGCACCACAAAAATTGCAACTAGAAACCTCAACATAACTAAGTAAAAAATTATAGTAAGTAAAGGACCCTTTTCCACGCCTTTAGGTGAATAGGGCATATAAGTCTAGACCTATATTTTATAGACCAATCGGCACAAGATGGGTGATGTGGTCGGCATAACGTCGGCCGCACTTACTTCCCGGGACTGCACCTGGTACCCACTCAAGGCTAGGTCGACCTGGCTGCCAAAGTCGATTTTGAAAAAAAGTCAGGCTCCACCAGGGAGCTAACCCAGGACCTTCCGATCCGGGGCGAGCGTCTAGCCGCTTCGCCACGGTGACTCACTCAACATAACTTAACACCACATAAACTGCGACTAGAAACCTCTTCTTCTTCTTCTTCTTCTTCTTCTTCTTCTTCTACTTCTTCTTCTTCTTCTTCTTCTTTGCGTCCTCCTTTACCGTTTCCTGTGTCGAGGGAGATGTGAAGTCTTGCTTCGTGCTTTACTGTCTGCTTCTACCACAGACACATCGTGGTGCTGAAGAGTTTATCTGATTACATCTTCCTATTGTATTTTTTTATACCTCTTGCTCTACGTCTCTGTCCTCTTTTGGTATATGCCTTGTATGGTGTAGCATCAAAAGGCATTTTCTCCAGATGGGCAAACCATTTGACTTGTTGTCTTCGTATGTAATTTAGGACTTTATATCGTTCGACCTCACTCCTAATTGTATCTTTTCTGGTCGCTCCTACAGTCTTTCTGGGACACTTCATTTCCATGGTTACTAATTGTCTTTTATCATGTGTTTTCATTAGTGTTGGATTGCTTTGTTGATGTAAAATATTAGAAGTAGGATTTACTGTCATCAATGTTGGATTGCTGTGTTGATGTAAAATATTAGAAGTAGGATTTACTGTCATCAATGTTGGATTGCTGTGTTGATGTAAAATATTAGAAGTAGGATTTACTGTCATCAATGTTGGATTGCTTTGTTGATGTAAAATATTAGAAGTATTATTTACTGTCATCAATGTTGGATTGCTGTGTTGATGTAAAATATTAGAAGTAGGATTTACTGTCATCAATGTTGGAGTGCTGTGTTGATGTAAAATATTAGAAGTAGGATTTACTGTCATCAATGTTGGATTGCTTTGTTGATGTAAAATATTAGAAGTAGGATTTACTGTCATCAATGTTGGATTGCTTTGTTGATGTACAATACTAGAAGTAGGATTTACTGTCATCAATGTTTGAATGCTTTGTTGATGTACAGTACTAGAAGCAGGATTTACTGTCATTAATGTTGGATTGTTTTGTTGATTTACATTACTAGAAATTACTAGAAGTATAGTTTACTGTCAACACTGTTGGATTGTTTTGTTGATTTACTTTACTAGAAGTATGATTTACTTTCATCAATGTTGGATTTGTGCTAATGTGCATTACACGTGCATGGAGTGCCCACTTACATCCAACGTCAATTCTGTAAATGCAGTCGAATTCCGATTGGCCAGCACAGGTATAGAATGTAGAGCTTTGCCTTCACAAAATATGCTGCTGTACTGGCATTGACATTCCTGAACAACAACATAAACGTTTGCGATTAAATTGTGTGTATGTATCTATGAGCTATTCTTCATATCTATCTATTCATATGTCTCTGCCTCCGTCTGTTTGTCTGTCTGTTTGCCTGTTTGTCATTCAGCCGACTATCTGTGGGATAGACAGTCTATCACTCTCTTCGGTCTGTCCATCAGTCTGTATGTCTATATGTCTATCTGTAATTCGTCATTGCTTGTGCTTGTTTACCTCACGATGTAATAAAATCTGCAATAATTCTTCTTGGTTTTCTCTCGTCTCTTTCTGATTTTTTCCAGTCATCCCAAACAGGCCACGACATTCTTCTCTTCCTACGAATCTACCTCAATACTTACTTACTTACTTACTTTTTCCTTCCACGTATGCCGCTAAGCGTTGTGGGGAGATGCAAGTTCCTGTCATAAGCAAGGCGGGCAGCATCTGATGTTCTGAGGCCATGCTTTTGGCAGGTTTCGGAGACCCCGTCAATCCACCGTTTCCTTGGTCTTCCTCTTGCCTTATATCCTGAGCTTCTTTGGTTGAATACCTCAATACTTGTGCCGTTTAAATTCAGTGTGCTCGTGTATCTTTATATCGTAGTAGAGGCCGACTTCGACATCTTTTACCCATACGCAATTTACCATAGACAAAGTTGTTAGTAACTCTACCATCTTCTATCCCCGAAGAGCGACCTAGTCTTTGGAGCCTCCAAAGACTGAGTTATGAGGAATCTGTCATCCGAGAAAAATTGCCTTGAAAAGTGTATTTTTAATCGTGTACAGTAATGAATAAGTCTTTTTATTCTTTCGTCGTCTCACTGATACCAGATTGTAGCCCAGTGTCGTGGTTATGTCGTCTCACTGATACCAAATTGTAGCCCAGCGTCGTGGTTTTGTCGTCTCACTGATACCAGTTTGTAGCCCAGTGTCGTGGTTTTGTCGTCTCACTGAAACCAGGTTACAGCACTGTGTCAATTTTTCGTCATCTCACAAATACCAGTTTGTAGCCTAGTGTCGTGGTTTTGTCGTCTCACTGAAACCAGGTTGCAGCCCACTGTAGTGGTTTTGTCGTTTCACTGATACCAGGCTGTAGCCCAGTGTCGTGGTTTTGTTGTCTCACTGATACCAGGTTGTAGCCCACTGTCGTGGTTTTGTCGTCTCACTGATACCAGGTTGTAGCCCAGTGTCGTGGTTTTGTCGTCTCACTGATACCAGGTTGTAGTCCAGTGTCAGTGTTGTGTCTCACTGAGACCAGGTTGTAGTCCAGTGTCGTGGTGTTGTCTCACTGATACGAGGTTGAAGCCCAGCTTCGTGGTTTTGTCGTCTCCCTGATACCAGGTTGAGGTCCAGTGTTGAGGTTTTCTGTATTTGTCTTGCGATTCTCGGGTGGCTTAATTGATGGATGCGTTAATCTTTTTGCAGGTTTCAGCTACATCATTTATCCATCTCTTTTTTGGTCTTCCTCTCACCTTCCTCCCAGATGTTCTGCTGTAAAAAGTATCATATGGAATTAGGCCTGGCTGCATTCTAACCAGATGGCCTACAAATTTCATTCTTTGTCTGTCAATATAATCGAGATATGGTCTTATTTTAATTTTTTTCTCAAATGCTGTTATTCGTAACCCTATCTCTTCTTGTGTTGTTAGAGACCTTGCGTAGCGTTACAAAATGAATAAATCATGGTTCCAATATTAACTGTTACCTTGTATGGACAGTCCTCAGCAAGTGAGAACCTCCACAGAAACTGACACAGGCAGAAATAGGCAAGAATCGATTCCGTCTGCATGTCTTCCTGGCGCAGTGACACGAAAGGAAAGCTGTACATTTATAACAAGAGCTTAGAAAACACACACGACAATAACTACTGATTACTGATTTAAGAATCGACATCACAGCACACCAAGCATACTCATTGGTGCCCTGTCTCCCGTAGCACATTTATTATTAGAGTGAATACGCGATCTGTTCCTGTAGCACACACGATGATAAAGTAAAAATAAATAGTAGTGGTGAAAAATGCATTAATAACTTGTAACTGTTTTGTTTGAACAGGGCTATTTTGAGAAGAAACATAAAAAAGGAGCTGGAAATGGTGAGGGCGCTAAATGCAACAAACGAACAGATGAGACTCAGTTTAAGGTACGCTAAACATTTCTCCCAACACTGATTAATAGCTCTTTCTGTCCATACTTTCTTCTATTATGTATTACCGAGGGCTGGGTGGTCTGTGGTCTTGAGGCACTATGTCCGCCTTGAGTTAAAAATCTACCTAAAGTATTTTAGGATCTTTCCCGGTGCTACAGCGCCTGTACACTGTGCTGAGCTTCTTCGAACTCAGACTTGAGTAAGAAGAAGAACGGAGCACTAATGGGTTACTACCCGTGTGCCATGATGTTAGTCCGTTGTTCAAATTTGTATATTACGGGTCGGTGATGACATTGATGATTCTTTAATTAGCATGTTGATGCGTCCGTTGATAAACACTTGTTGAAACGTTTGGCTGAAATTTTTTATGATCTATTTTTATCTCGCTGTTTGGCAATTCGGTCATTGTGTTGTCTTTAGTTACCTCCGACATAAGCTCAGTTGCTGTCATTGTTATTTACCTCTAACTAATTGTGACATGTACTGAAGGCAGCTGTCAAATAAATTACAGGTCGTTGCAAAAACAACCCAGCATTTTTTTTTTCTTGGCTGTTGTGTCCTTTCTAGGCAAATGTTACGTTCAGTAGTTTGCCATTGCTACTAAACGGTCAGTTCTCGGTACCACAGTCGAAATCAGAGCAAGACAAATCGTTCGCAGCTGGGATCAAAACCTGCACCCCGGCATTATGAAGCGCGTTCGCAATGTCAAAGCTACATCCGCCGACAGAAGTGAAATATACATGGGATAATAATTATGATCGTTAAGGTAGGAAAAAATATCTACGGAGATAAACAATAAAATAAAATTAGCAATTATCAAATGTGTTATTTAAAATTAATCATACTGTTAATGCAGAGACATCTACACTAAATAAAAAGATAGAAATCGAAATAATAGAGATTTAGATATAAAAACAGATGTCGTTTTCATAGACATACAACCAGTCAAACAACAGAGATTTGAAATTTAAATTGGGAATTCGAGGTAAAAAAAGAGGCATTGAAATGTTTCTTTCCCAGGGACAGGAGCATCCGCCTTATTAAATACTTTCTAGGACTTAGGGAAGGTCTAAGTCTAGTTTAAGTGCTCAAATTGTGATGCTGGTGATGATAAAACAACAAAAAATATTTATAATTAAAAAAAAATGGTAAAATAATAATAATAATATTAATTAAATGTGAATAAAAAAAAGTAATGATCCCTTTTCTAGCCTCGTATTTTTACAGACTAATCGGCACTAGGTGGTGATGTGGTTAACATTACGCCAGCCGTCTTTACTTCCCCAGGACAGCGATCCTGGTACCCATTTTAGGCTAGGTCGAGCGGCGACGCCCTATAATATGATAAAAATCCACGCAGCCAACAGTGGGTTTCGATTGTAGTATGTTGAAATTAAGAGTAGGACTCGCAACGTTTAAACCACGGAGGCTACAACAACAACAATAATAATAATTATTATTATTATTAATATTATTATTACTATTATTATTATTATTATTGGCTGGAGGGCGGGGAAAAAATTTCATTTTGGAAATATTACGATATGCATATACAAAACTTATCTCAGTCCGCATCCTCCACCCCAATACTTATCTGGGCGGGGGAAAAAGGGGGGGGGGGGGGTTTGGCGCTTAAAGTACCTAAGCCACGAGATTCTGGCGCTCTGTCACCTATATTTGAAGAAATCATTTTAACGTCATCTACTGTTGAATCGTTTGAAAATGTTTTCATTCCACTAGATATCTTTGTATCTTATATTAATTTAGTAAAGTTTATTTTCAGTATATTTTTTTTTTCTGATTTCTTCATTTCTCACACATTTAACATTTGGGGAAAAAAAAACATTGCTTCGTTCGTTGGTTCGCGACAACAAATGGCAGTGAAACATTACAGTATACTTACTTTGTGGTGTGTTTATTATGAATTGATAGAACAATAACAGCCGAAGTTTCCCACGAGATTACTTGGGCGACACTTTTGACCCCTGGGTTGTGTTCAAAACTTGTCGATAAGCCGGAGAAGTGAAACAATACATTACAAAATAATATCTCTTTTTAACTTGAAGTGTCTACAGCTGAGCTAAGAACTAACATACTGGCCCTCGTGATATTCCCTAAGCGATTCGTCCTCAAGTTCAGCAGCCAGAGAAGAGTTTCAATTCTCATGGTACCAGCAGGAGTTTAATTATGTCTCCGTCCTGCCTTGCCTCTAAGCGTACGGTGTCGACCAGATCCTATGGTCTCTCCTAACTGTACTATTCTCTCCAGACCTTTATAAGCGATTCGTGCCTCTGCACTGTTTACTAACGTTCAGTGAGCCTTGACTACTTCTAGCTTGTCAAGCACGAACTCACTAACTATTGATGTAGAATCAACCAATCTGTCTGCCTATTCATTTCCCAACACTTCTGAATATACGTTGACAATATTCACATAACGCTTACCACCACAGTCGTAGCCGCTATAACAAATAACGATTGCCTGTTGGAACTAGGTTCGAATAGGCGGATTTGAAAAATACTCCTTCTGAAAGTAAAGATAAGAAGATCGCCTTTATTGAAAAGGGCTTTATACCACATGGTATTTTTTTAAAAACTCTAGTAATTATACTTGTCTACTAGGTATATACAGATAGAGTCTCTTTCCGAAGAACAGCTAGCTGCCTGTCGATAGCGTCGCACAGAGCACCAGCTCCGTAGTGTGACGTGACGCGTGGTTTAAATGTTTATGTTGTTGAGTAGGGATGTTCCTCTCAACACATTCCTTCCACCAGATTAACCGAACTAAAATCTGAGCTATGTTGCTCTCAGACAAAGTCCTGGATATCCAAGAAAACAGCCATATTGGCTCGTTAAGTATATTAACATTAGCTGAACTTGGTACCCACAAGAGAAGGCAAGGAATTTTAGATGTCTATCATACTTAATGTTAATGAATTATTAGACAGGGCAAGTGATTCTTTCGTCATCTACCTTCTCCCGGTGTTATTATTAATAATTAAAGAATTATTATCATATTATATGAGCCCCCACCAAATGTACTTCTATCTATCAGTTTAGAAAACAGGTAAGATTGAATACACTTGGAATTTAACAAACGATGTAGTATAAAACTTGGCATACAGCTTTATTTTCTAACAATCAGTTAATTGACATACCCAGTTTGTTGTGTTTACACAAACAGTGACTAGCTAAAGTTATGATAGTAATGGGTTGTTTCAGCGCGAGAACAGCACCTGGGATTAGAGTGGTGTGATGAAGGTGATAAAGTATGAACAATTTATGAACATAACTTTCATAGAACCTCTGACAGCCGTGAGCACTGTCAAGCTCTTCCTCCTCTTCCAGCTTCTTCCCTGCTTGTTTCTCCTCCTCGCCCCCACCTCGTTCTCCACCTCGTTCTCCACCTCGTTCCCAGCTGGCCGAGTCTAACACAATGTAGGCTACTTCATGGACTGATCGTCACATGGGCGCTGTAATCATGGAAACAAAACACATACGTGTAGTATCTTGACTTACACTAAGAATACATGTATCAATTAATACAACATATAATAATAAGATATAGCCCATCACTCCTCCTCATATTCCACATCCTCTCCAGTCTAGTCTGAAGGTCTTTTGTCTTACATGGGCGTCACATATCCTGCCTTCCTTCAAATGCTATGTCATGATAGTTGACTTTCTAAGTCTGTTGTCCGTCTTCACTCAGACTTCGAGTTGGCTGACATACATTTGACATAAACATGTGGCGCAGGTTATGTGCTGAACCCGCAAACAATTTATATGTGCACGCTGTCCTGAATATTATCTTTCAGTGACCGTGAATTCTATACACCCATCATCCTTTCCCTGTGGTTATAAATCCCCTGTTCAGGTGAACACATTAAGTAAGCACATGGTGGGCACACAAAACGTAGCAGCATCCCTGCACATATTTGGGCATCATTTCCCACAGTCCAAACTCATGTTTTGGCTGATCATGGAAACAATATAATTACATTTCATTATAGCAAATGTCATTGTTCACATCTTATTTTATACACATGAAAACATACAATGAAAAACATGTGATACAAACATACAAGAAATAGGAATAGTTTAGCAGTTCCCTAACTTGAGATACTGAATATTCACACAGAACTATTTCAAGCAGAATGTGCAGACAAATTAGGAAAAGGTAGTATAGACTAAGCTTAACTCCCTAACCTAAGTAAACAAGATTAAAATTAATATTTTCTCTCACCTGGGAACTTTTCCATCTATCGCCGAACCAGAGTACGACAGTAAAATATACCTTCACGTCGACCTGTGTTTGTTTGCCGGCAGGCTGCGATTAATGACGGAAATTCCACAGGCTCGAAGTATAAGTATCAATCTATTGTCCAAATTAAACTCCTCCCTTTACTGGGTTCTGTCCAACCCTCAAGACGATGACTTAAGCCACGCCTCCGGAGTACCCAACAGATCAACTTGGCTAACAAGTTGCCTGTCAGTCAATTCTGGACTGACATCCCTGGAGCAAACATTCTTAAGTGCCCCAATCTAGTTTACACCGAATCTAACTGGCCGGTGTGAAAGACGGTCAGTGGAGCCATCGTGTTTCCTACGTGACCAAGATCAAGATAAAACATTCCTAATT